ACCCCAAAACCCCAAAACCCCATAAGTATAAATAATCTTTGAATTGCGATGAGGAATAATTATTTAAAATTTCAACCATTATTTGTAGACAGATGGGAATACATAAACTCATGACTCTTATTTAGGAGAAGGCTCCTAAGGCTATTAAATCTATCAACCTTGATTTATTGACAGGCAAAATTGTTGCTTGTGATGCTAGTATGGCAATATATTAGTTCTTGATCGCAACTCAAACAATGAAACAAGGAATGGGAATCGGTGAATTGCGCGATTCAGAGGGAAATCTGACTGGGCATTTGGTGGGACTCTTCCATCGAACTATCTAATTCATGGAGAACGGAGTGAAACCCATTTGGGTTTTTGATGGAAAGCCACCTGAACTAAAGTCTTACGTACTCGATTAAAGAAAGGAGAACAAAGAGAAGGCTGAAGAAGAGAAATAGACATTAATTGACGCGGGAGATTTAGAGGGCGCCAAGAGAATGGCTGGCAGATCAGTAAGAGTTACCCCAGAAATGATGGAAGATGCAAAGAAATTACTTAGAATGATGGGAACACCAGTGATTGAAGCTCCAGGAGAAGCTGAAGCATAATGTGCTATAATTGTGAAACTTGGTTTGGCATATGCAACAGCTAGTGAGGATATGGACTCTCTTACTTTTGGCACCAATGTGCTTTTAAGAGGTTTCAACAGTAAGAAAGAACCAATCATCCAAATTGAACTAGACTAAGTCCTCCAAGGATTCTAATTAGATCAAGAATAGTTCATTGACCTTTGTATCCTTTGCGGATGTGATTACACCACTAATATTCCAGGAGTCGGCCCAGTTAAGGCGTTCAAGTACATCAGTGAGGAGGGAGGCACCATTGAAAATGTCATAAAGAGAATTGAGAAAGAAAATGATGATCCCAAGAAAAAGAAGAAGTACACAATCCCAGAGACTTTTTACTTCAAAGAAGCTAGAGAATTATTCAAGATTCCATCTGCTATTCATGATAAAGCAGTATTGGAGCCTTAGATGAAATGGAACAAGCCTGATGAGGAGGCCCTTAAGGAATTTCTAGTTGAGAGAAAAGGTTTCTAGGATATCAAAGTGGAGAACGGTATTAAGAAACTCAAGGCAACAGCAGGAAAGACTAATTAAGCCAGATTAGACTGTTTCTTCAAGGCAGGAGCTCCTAAGACCTCTACCACATCTAGTAAAGATAAAAAGCCAGCCACTAAATAGACGGGAGGACTCTAGTTTAATAATAAGAAGAGCATGCCAGCTAAGGCAAAATGAGAGTGTAACGAAGGTTTATCTTATAAAATTTGGAATATATATTTATTAATACGCTTCGATTTAAATTATCTTCTTTTAGGGGTTTTGGGGTTTTGGGGTTTTGGGGTTTTGGGG